GTCACTGCGGTTTCATTTCAAATATTGACTGAGACTTTGATACCTTTGTTCATTTAAGGCGAGCAAAAATCGACCAATGAAAAGTAGAACAAGCAGAAAATGCATGCACAAATGTTGAACGAAGAACAAAAAACAACACACACATTTGCTTTCGTTCGCTTGATGAAAATAGCTATTGATTTTTGTTTTCTTGTTGTTGTGACGGTGATGGTGGCGATATTGGTGAAGTAATGTATAAGTATACCCAATGAAAATACGAACCATCAATTGCATCTGCTAAATTCATTAGCAATCGACAATGTTCCATGATTGCACACATTGCACAACGAATCAATGTTCAAAGGAGGAAAAGTTGTGCAAAGTGTTTGTCGATTTTGGAGAGTGAATGAGAGAGAGAGAAAAATAGAGGGAAAATTGGAAACGGTGGGAAGAAGGGTATAGAGAAAGGAAGTGAGAGAGAAAAATATAGAAAGAGCGCGCGCGACTATGTACTCTAAATAACTTTAAAATGCACATCAATAATAATAGCAGCATTACGTGATGAAATTCCAATTGATCTGTCGGTTGCCGTAAGCGAAGCATTGCAACCAAATACCCGGGCGGTATTTTACTGACGATGAATGCCGAACACTTTTTTTTCATACCAATTACATAATAATTCGGCGTATAGTTACTATGTATCTTTCTCTGTGTCTGTTTGTTGGTATGTATGCGAGTCTCGTGTGCTGTACGAACCGATATCATTGCCCCATTTCTATCATTCATTATCATTATCGTATCATTTGCCGCCTATTCACGAAAGAATAAGCGCACATTAAACAAGAACAACAGCAGTAGCGGCAGCAAAAAATGTAAAAACATCAATTGATTTGTACGGCAACCTCAAAACTTTTTCATCGAGTTTGAGGTTTAAAGTGCTACTGCGATGGGATCGGTTCGGTTCGGTTCGGTTGTTCCGAATTGAATAGCAGCAGCAATGCCGCCCCGACCTCCAACCCTTTATGTGTAATGCAATGTACACTAGCTTTTTGATTCCCATGTATTTTGAATCGATAATGCAAACAATTACAACACGATTTCGGGTTAACCATCACTGCGTACATAATAGATTCAATTTGAATGATAATACATTTTATGTTTGATTATATGAGAGCCGCTTTTTTTCCTTCTATCTATTCCTCCCTCTTCCTACTCCTCTCTCTCTCTCTATCATGTGCCGCATAATTTTCAATCATTAACCGAATGGTACAAAGTGATTTTTTGAGCATTGCAGATAAAAGAGTCGAACGCAAAATCAATATCCATTTTTCCACTGAATGAATCCGAACCATTTGGTATTGGGTCGAGAGAGAGAGAGAGATGGATAAAAAAATTACGCCAAATATAACGAATTGATGTACTTAAACGGATTAAAACCCATTTTCAAGCGGCTCATATAAATTAATCTTATAAATGGGTAAAAAAATGGTTTGGTTGAAATCCAAAATACACGATTGCATAAATGCGGGCGAATATTATTTCATTTTCATTTGTCATTGCATTCGGTTCAGTTCTGAGATTTTTATCAAAGATTCGAATCAATTAATGGAAAGACGAATTTTTTTTCATGTTAATTCATTTTATGCTGAGAGTAATTTAGAGTAGACTGTGTTTGATTTCGCATGCAAAGCCATTGTCGTTGCTACTGAATAAATTTCGAGTATATTCCTTTGCGTTTTATCAGTCAAATGGCTGCGTTTTTGTTCTCTGCGCCAAAATACGTGCTGTCAACGTAATTACTGTTATTCAAAGCGATGTGAGAAATAGCGAAAAATTGATATGTACCCAATTGTTGTGGATGTTTTAGGTATATGAACATTTCGTATTCATGGTGCGTTTGGATCGGATACGGCCGAAACGCATTTGGTAAGCATTTAGCGAATAGAAACATCAAAATGTGGTGCGTATTCGCGCAGACGAGAAAAAAAGCGGTGTATAAATCACGAGTTAACAAGGCAAATTAGATACATGATATAGAAAATAAAGGAGAATGAGTATAAGACCCAGAAATGCAAGGGCGGAAAAAAAAGAAATTACTTCCACATACGCACACACATAGCACACATTCAGCGGCTTTTTCCTTCGGGGTTAAGTCATTACGAAATAATTTATTTGGTGGTACAGTACACAGTGTTCGTACGTATTGGAATGAAGAGGAATCGCCTACATACACACACAGACACTACACATTCAAGTTGCTGTTCGAAACTCAGCTAGAGTTTACTTTCTTTCCGGCTAAATTATGCACAGAGAGGAAAGCGGCACGAGAAAAGACTCAGTCGATTCAGTGTGTGTGAACTATGGCTACGGCTGTATGTATTTATCGTTGAGAGTTGGCACAGTTCACAAAGGATAATTAACACGCGTACATCCAAGTGAAAATACACAGAGTAGTTGTTTGACTTGATGGCAAATAGCGAGGCGTCAACGATATTTGTTTGCCGATTGTGTCAGCCCGAGCGAGCGTTCAGCGAACGAGAGCAGAAAAGTGAGAGAGAGAGAGAGAGAGGCAAAAAAGATGGAAATAGGGAAAAACGCAAACTCAGAATATACTACGTATACACTAATAATGTAGAAGCTGTTGAACTGTCGGCAATCATTTGTTTACAGCGCCACCAAGCTAATTTCGCATGAACTACTGACAATAACAGCGACAGCATTCAACAGCAGATTATGATGAAATATTATTCGTATCTGTGTGCGTGTATTTTGTTGTTTCGGTATTGGTGTGCTACATTGTTTATTGTCGGTTTTCGCGCGACTTACTGAAAGCGGCGATACTTGACAATTCAATCTGCCAGTTCAACAAAAAAAAAACACATCGTATTAGGTACTATTGGAAAAACGAAATTGAGACAACCGAAGAGAGTGAGAAAAAACTGAGAGTGACTAAAACATGATACTCAGCACTGAATTAAAAACTATGCCATCAACCGTCTACTCCTCACGTCCTCAATCAGATCGCTGCAAGATAAAGTGATTTAACTTTTCCACACTTTGAACGTCTTCGAATTGCTGTTGGCTGTTTCTATTTGGGTTGCTCCCTCTCTATTTTTGCCCCAGCGGCTATGATAAATGATATGGCGACGTTGATCAATATTTTTTAGCACCTTAGAAATGCATTGGGGATTGTTCGTTTTTCTGGCGGCACTTCAACAACAACGTGCAATCATCTATATATGCCAAGATTTCTTCAATCATTCTTGAAGTTTGGATATTAAGTACTGCAGGTTGATGCATCACCGAGCCGACTATGTTCACTTTCATAGGCTGGTGTTTGTTTTCTGTGGACGTCGTTGACGTTGGCGCAGTGCATGAAGTATACTTGTGTTGCCAATTTTTTTTCCTTTTAAAAATGGTTGATGCCTAAGATGATGTGTACCAACAGTCGCTGCTGATGGATTTTCATAACATGATAAATATAAAGAAATGAAGTAAGTGCGACAATATCTCGGAAAAATGGGCTCACATCACCGGTCGTATGAATCAAAGTGTGTAGAGATGCACATGCACACACACAAACAAAAAGCGTGGGTGGAGGGAACCGTGTAAAGTGTGAAAAGCTAATTACGATGAGTTTATCAAATGTTAGCGCATTTCTTTCTCATCGTCGAAAGTCATTGTACGCTTGGCCTGTGACGCGACACCACTCTATACGTAATCCCCTCACTCACTCGTTCGCTCACTTTTCCATGCCCTGTACACCGTTTTATTGTTATTATTTTCCTTTGCATCATTATCGTTTTTTTATCGTCTCGCCGAGTGGATGCTCGCATCAAGAACATAACAACGTAATTTACGATTATGTATGCACCCACTGCGACAGTATATGTGTCCGACCGAGACATGACGACACATACACATACACACACCCACAATGATGGAATTCTTTTTTTTAAAGTGAGATTACATGTTTGAACTATTAGCTTAATGGGAATAAGTAATAAAACAAAAGTTAGTTCCTTTCTCTAATAAATTCCATCGGGGGATTTTTTTTCCCGAAGAGATAGAAGTTGTGATTCCACACAAAACACCATACACTATGGTATGAATACAACATTTCTAATTCAAACCAACTGCAATGCAATACAAATCCGAATGAATTGATATAGATCCATTTCGTGTTTAAATTGCAAAAGTCAAGATTGGACGTCATGGGAATCAATTTGAAATGGATGTTTTGTTTGCCATTTCATGAAGTAACAATTTTTTTTGCGATTTACAGACACAATGAAACGAAGATCCGGATGTTCGTTGTTCTTACACCATCGCTCTTGGTTTACGCATTTCACAGAATTGTAATAATAGAAAATAACATCTAATCAATGTACATTTCAATTGTTTTAAATTGAACAAACTTTAAATGCATTCCGTATATTCTTTGCTATAACTTTGGTGACAGACCTGCATCATTTCGAAAAGCATTTTGGCAATTTCGTTTGACGAATTTCGTTAGTGCTCTTGGTTGCTGTGTGTGTCTTTTTTTTATGTGCAGAAAAAAAAGAAATAATTTCTAACGAAAAAAGAGGATGAAATGGAATTTGAAAGAAAGAAAAAAGAGAATGTAACCAGCAAGCAAACGATTGAGAGATTAAACTTTAAACATGAGCAAAGAAGTAACACCAATAAAAACAAATTACACAGCACACCATAACACACACAAACACAACTTATCCAATGTCTTTTGCTGTTTCGTCCGTTTGAAAGTTGTTTCGGTTGTTCGTTTGATGTACAACAAACGTTTGTGTATGTGCGTGTGTGTATGTATGTGTTGCTTGGCATAAAATTGAGCGTGAGAATGTAGCATTCGAGAGAATAGAGAGTAAAAATGCACTAAAAATCGCTTCATGTACATATATGCGATAGAAAAATGTAGCGATGAATGTGTATTTGTTTTTGTGTTTCTTTTTGTCTTAGACCATATAGTTTAGTTGATTTTTTTGTTTTTGGTTCTCATTTACCTTTTTCAGATCCTTTATTTCGATATCATCTGCTTTTCGTTTCTCAGTTGATGTCGCCACAAGTTTTGTCTTCTCTTTGTCCGGCATTAGAATCTGTAATAAAGAGACAAACAGAAAAAAATGGAATAAAATGAAAAATAAAACGAACAAAAAAAAAATAATATCAAAAGAACGAAAATTTCAACCAAAACACGATGGACAACGGAAATAGAATGCACACACACAAAGGTTTCGTGGGGAGTAAAGGCGAATGAGGGAAGAGAGATAAGATGTGGCACGTAAGGAGAAGAAGAATGAGATGATAGAGTAAGTTTGAGCAGAAATGAGGTTGAAGCCGTGCGATGATGTCGACGTTCGATAGCGAATCCTAGTCGATTGCACACGGCCAACTCACAATCAGAAGCAGTTTAAGAAGCTCTAAAAGAAAACTCCATTTTCAATGTATCCACCATTGTGCCATCACATGTGCTGCTGGGTTGTGTGCAAACGGATTTCGGATGTGCGCGCTCAAGCCTTCGACGAATTTCACAAGATAGAAAATTGAATAATATTTGTTTTTCGTTTTTATTGTCACATTTCGTCGTCTTTACGTTACATTCGCTGTAGCGCACTGTTGCCGTCGTATACTCGAATCGAACCGAAGCGAAAAATGTCCTCTCTCTCCACGGCTGATTTCCACGACTTAAACTAAACTGCAATGCTCTATCTCATTTTCCGCAGTTTTTTTTGGCTTTCTTTGTCTTGGCTTGCGTAAGGTGAACATTTCTATTTTATAAACTGTATTTTTCCCAATTTTCGTTTAGCTCAATGTGGGTTTAACTCAATGGCATGGCAAAACAAGAGAGCAAAAAAAAACGGTCTACCCACAACATAACCGACAAGCATTTTTTCCCATCTAAAATGCAATCAGCTGTTTGGTGATCATAGCTTACCCGGTACCTCTCACATGTGGAAGCTGTTTATGTTGACACAAAACATATTTCTTACTCAGTTATCACATTTTGCTGCCATTCCGAAACAAATCTATTAACTACCAATTTGAGAAAAGAGATACTAAACAAGGTAGAGAGCATGAGCATTTGGCAAAAAGGCTTACATGGTAAACGAAATCAACGCAAGAAGAGATGGAAGAGAGAGAGAGAGTGAGAATGGAAAATTGAAAGAAAAAACAAATTGGAAAAAAAGAAATGTTGGTGTTGTTTCGTTTTTAGATCTCATGCAAAATGCACTACAAATCGATTCGGTTCGACTTTGTTTTCGGATTTGGTTGTTTTTGAGGTTGATGAGAGTGAGAGCAAATGACGTGTGAATTTAAAATGAGAATGACACATTCTTGAAGATAAAAAAGAGAGAATTATGGAATTTAAATAAAATTGAATTAATATTGATTTTTTGATCTTGGTGTTGTTTGCATTAATATGTTGAATCAGGTGTTAAATTGAAAGAAAGAATTTGATTTCTCCTGTCTCTTCTGCAGAATAAATCATTAAATTAACATTTACAATTCATTTCCTGCTCATAATTCAGTCATCTTTCATTTTCATTTCAATTTTAAATGCATCCACGCATATGATACCTTTTTAGTTGTCGCTGTCTCGAAAATGCTCGTTGGCATTTTTCATGAAATGTCATCGAGAGACACCGAAAAAAAAATCGGGTACATGCAGCTGAAAACCATCCAACTGTCATCTCAATTATACTTATAAATTGATTTAGAATTCAAACACATTTTTTAACGGTGTGACAGAGCATTCAAGAGAGCGAGAGCGTGAATTTGCGTTGAAAATGTGAAATTAGTGCTTGTTTACAAGACGAATCGTGTCAATTAATTACGTCGGAAAAATAGCAATGGCATTATTATTGCTAGTAATTACGGCAAAGCATCGAAGCTCACTTCTTAACACTTCGTCTGAATGTTAGTTTCGTATTCCTCTTTCTCTCTATCTCTCGCGCGCGCGGTTTGAAAAAAACATCAAAAAACCATATTTCAGGAACATAGTACCGTTTTCTCATTCTTCAAGCGCATGTACTTTTTGAAAATGTCCGAAATGTAAATGACTTTCGAAATCTCAACATTCAGTTGGCAAATTGCTGTTACACTTGACAATTGTGTTCGCGGTGCATGAAAGACTCATCAGTCAATCGAGAGGCGGTCATTTGAGAACGAAAATGCGATGCACGGTCTCTGGCAAAATGAACATTGAACAGTGAACACACACTGCACATTAAATGCAATTTAAAATTTATATTTAGATCATAAAAATGGGCGGCAGACATTTAAAATATATTGGTACAAAATGGTTTATCTCAACTGAATGCTTGAACATTTGATGTTCAGCTCAGAAAAGTGGTTAGCAGCGTAAAATGATATGGTGTGTCAACCGGCAGCATCATCAACAGCAGCGGCAGCAACATTATCAACTGCATTACATCAGCTTTCAGAATGTTTTTGTCGGTTAGCTTGTGACTGATTATGGCAATGTCCGATGTCAGAGCCATCTCTTTCTACATTTGAAGCCGTATGCGCTCCGTTGTAATGATGGATGGAAATGAAAACTCATTATTGGCTTGATTTTGTTGACAATACGACAATAATATATTAAAGCTAACACATGACTGAGCAAAACACTCACAGAGACCAATTATCGTGGCGAATATTTATATGCGCTGCCAGAACATTTCCCAAACGAAATGAGAACGTAACAAAAAACGCACGCCTAGGAAATGAGCAGAATCAACGTTGATGGATAACAAGTGACTGACATACGAAAATCATTACGATTTTTTTGTCACTCTCTTGCCTTCTCTCTTTCTGTGCTCACACTTTCATCTCGTCAGGTTTTGGTCGACATGATTTCTGTTTACATTTGGTTGATCACTTTCAGTGTGTCGCATAAAAATAGCACAATTTTTCTTGTTGCTTTTTTCTCCCTCTTTTGTTTGTTCTGTTGTCCGCCTCGTTTCCATGTAAGCATGTTTCATGTCGCTCAAATTGGCAGAGACGTTTACATGGCTCGTTTCTAAATCACCGTTAGGACCGAAAGCGAAACTATACGCTTCGGCTGACGCCACTGATTAAATACAGGCATCATGTTTCGTCACACTGAATTAAATTGTTCATGTCAATCGTTACGTAATTGAACAATTGTATCAATATGTACGGTGTAGGTGTCGCTACTTAGGGGTGCAATTAGGCTTAATTGTCCGATCACACAAAAATACACCCACTCAAAATCATCGGCCTTTTATAGGCGTGAATTTCGTTTTTTTTCTTCTCTCATTCGTCGAATTACATTCGAATCGCACATTTGTGTTGGGTTTTAAATGTTTCATTCTTCTCGGTTGATGGTATTTCTTCTAAAAAGAGCCTTGAAGATATTTTAGTTGTTTCCTTCTTGGAATTCAGTAGAGAAATTTTGAATAAATGTAGAAACAGTCTACAAATGACATAAAAACTATTCAAAAGTAGATTCGAAAAATGGTGAACGACAATGTTGGCCCCATTTGAAATGGACCACTCGCAAAATGTTCTGTTGAATCGCCGAGCATTTATCTGAAGCTCAATTTTTGCCCTACCGGATGAATGCAATTCGGAAAGCTGAAATAATGGATAAGTTTTTGAGCAGCACCCAACAATAACAATACCGACAATGAAATGGACAAAGAAAAAAGATGACAACAACAGCACACTCCAGACGCTAAAGTCACTGTTATATTCGTAATATTTCCGACTTGAAACTCGTCTGTTTTGCATTTCTAGCTACAACTGCTATTGACATGAGTCTTTTTTCGAAACCCATGTTTCACCCGGAGATTTGTAGCAAGCGACAAACTTTCAACTTCGCTTCCGATGATGAAGACGCCAATGTAACACAATATCTGTGTAATTCAAAACGACGGCAACGGCCGCAATTAGAAAATGGAAAATGCAGCACGAATAAAAATCAAATTAAACATCAAAGCGGAGGAAGAAAGAATTGATGAAAAAGTTATGAAGTTAAACATGATTTTAACTTAAATAAATGCATTATTACAATAATAACTTTTTGTATTCATTGAGTTCTTTTTCTCTTTTTTCTGCGAATACGTAAAAGCATACCCGGGAAATGGGTAAGACATTTTTGAAACGAAACTTTCCTCTCGGTTTTTTTTCTTTTATTTCTCGGAAAAAACGGTACCAGGATTTTCAACAAGAGCTCATTGAATAAATGATACCACATGTGGTCAAAATGGCATTGTGACAACGAATTCAACAGATGGTTTGTTAATCAAATTGCCAAGCATAAATCACAATGGAAATAGTTGTCGTTGGAAGAGAAAAAACAGATGAAATACAATCAATTTTTCGGAGAAATGAAAATCGGATCATGCATGCCATCAATTACATGGCCATCATTTACATCGACGGAGGCAAAGCGACTGTTGAGTGCTGACAGTTCAGTGAGGATATTCATTTTTCACCGGTGATTAGGTGACAAAAGGCATCAAATTGGATTTTCGCTAGAAACCAATTGTTTAATACCAAACTCTCATTCTCTTTCAATTTTGCTTGAAAAAAAGGTATATCATTTTCATGAGACATCTAGCATTTTTTGTTGCAATATTTTTCATTCAGCCACTGTCCTGTGTTCGCTGGTATTTTAAAGCGAACCGTGCAAAGTTTGTAAAAAAAAACCATATCGTTCTGACAATAGACACAAAAACGGTCAATTAAATGTATGCATGCGAATATTATTGCGATAAACGGCATTGGTAACGACTGACCAAACGTTGATATTTATTTAAAACGAATAAATCATTTTAATTCCATTTTACATGGGATAGGAAAAAAATGCCAACGTTTACTCGGAAAATGACTATGAACGATATGGCGCGCAGCCATTGGTGCTATATGGGGAAGTTTGTAGAAGAGAAAAAAAAATCCAGTCGAAGCGACTGCTGAATGCTATTTCCACAGAATAATAAATTATAGGTCGTTGTAAATACGGTTGAATCCGTGTATGCATCATTTTATTTTCAAATTAAATTATATGATTTTTTCCAACGGTCGATGGCAGTTGAAATATTACCGCAAATATATGGCATTAAATCGATTGTATGGTGTGGGAAAAAATACAGCATTTGCATGTGATATGCTATGTACGTACAGTGTACACAGTGCAAAACCATGAAATAATTTTCAAATATTACATAATATCCTCTAAATTTGGCTATTTGATTCAGTTAAAGTTCCATAGAAACTCGGTTCTGTCGCCATAACATAGGCAAGGATACTTCTAAAAATGTACGAATTTCAAGTATGAAGAATGTTGATGATTTCGAGGTAAAACATGGCAAATACTGCAGCAAAAACTTTGTCTTCATAATTATGGCTGACACTTGGAATGTTCAGGTGAGAACTTCTCACTGAGAAGTAAAGGTTTCAATGTCTCTCTTGAGATATATAATCTGCAATTCACGCGCTGTGCACGATATGAGAGTCTCCATTGTAACATGAATGTGATAATAAAATTATGTTTTGCGGGTGAATCCAATCACTTTTGTGCGACTGTTTAATGATCAAAGGAGCAAAATTGGGAAACCTCAAACGCGATACACGGAGAGAGAAAGAGAGAACTCCTTAGAACATTCATCTTATTTACGAAAAGTAACTAGAGAGTGTAGAAAGTAGCACGACAAACATGCATAATCCAATGTAAATACAAAAGTGTACGGAATATTTGCACGGCAGCCAAAGACGGTACACTCGTGCGCGCGTGATCTCAGTGTCTCATTCTCTCACTATGTGTGTGTTGTAAGACTAATGTCGTTATGGCATCCGCTAAATGGATTTTTTATTCAAATTTTGACGACATTTAACATCATTAAATCCCAGTTGTCGATGGTATCGTTCTTATGGTTTTTGCTGTCTCGCAAGTCACAACACATTACATGCTTTGCAGCCACACATCCACAAAATGATTTCGGATGCTTTTCATTTTCAAATAAATGTGACACTTGTGTGCCGCACACATGCACATGAACAACCTGACATTTGTAATTTATCAGTGAGGCAAATAGCGCATTACGTGGATTTGGCGTCATTGTGCTGCGTGAAGATAGAGAAAAAAAGAGAGAGCACTGATCTGAATATAGAGTCTTCGCTGGGGCTAAGACCAAAAATCTCTTTGATGTATGAAAGTGTGTAAGTCGTATTTCAGATTTATCCTTTTGAAGGATGGCAGCTGAAGTGAAAACAGTCTGAAATCCACTTCAATTTCGCGGTGGATGCAATCATAACGCCTATGGTATGTTCTATTTTTTGACAATGATCCTTCTAAACATAGAAAGAACTTCAAAATTTCCTTCAAACACAGAAAAAGAGCGAAAATAAGGCGGCAACGTATTATCCACAGCTGAAGTGAAACAGATTGATAAAATAATGGGAAGACGAAAATAAAAATCAATTATGTCAAAAAAATAGCGGTGTTTGTTTAAAATATCCCGACACTTTAAAGGCTTCAAAATATCAACCATGCCAGAGGATAAACTCAATTAAATTTTGGCTTTGAAACTGTTTCGTTTCCATCGCAACTCGATTGCTTCTCATGAGAAACATTTCTCGAATGAATTCGAATCAAACGTGTTGCCGTGTGGGCGTTGTGATAAAAAAGCCATCCAATGAAACGTGATGGTTTTAAAACTCTTTGTTCTAAAATTGGTGAATGCGTTGCGTTGAGGAATATACTTCGCATCCTAATGCTATCAACATTGGATATGCATTAGCCGCTGTTTAAAATGTTGGATCAAACTTGTGTGTGTGTGTGTGTGTGTGTGTGTGTGTGTGTGTTGGCTCGTCTTCACTGCCGCCATCGCTCGTTAACAATATGATTTTTCGAATTCAGTGCATGTACTGAACATTTTTTCCTCTACGATTACGGTTGCTATTTTTACTGTTCCACGTTGTTCCGTGCCCTTTGACGAGTTCCATGGCTTTCTCTCTCTCTCGCTCTCTCTCTCTCTCTCTTCATATCCATTTAATTTCTGCACATGCTTTGTTCTAGGTCCATTATGACTTTGTCGTTATTCACGAATCGTAGCAATAATAGAAGCATCTTTTCTTCTTCTTCGTTTTTTTTTTGGAATTATTTTTTTATGGTTGACTTTTTGCACAACATCATATGTTACGCAAAATCGAACCATTCGTAGAGAGAAGGGTGGCTTTTGTATGTGTTGCGCAAGCATACATCTCGAATTTACATTTAAAAAAAAAAAACAAAACGTATACCGAACAATGGCAACCGTAATTTCGAACATCATGTTTATCGAACCGAAATTCACCCTCGTGTTGCGGTGTCTCATCGGAGCAGATAAAGTTCAATGAAGGAAATTACGTGGGAGACGGAGCGTCCAATGTAATCGGCTTGTCGGCTACAATTTTGAACAAACCGAAATTGATTCTTCGTTTCGATGGAAAAATGGAATGAAAGTTTCCATGTCAAATTGTCCTTGAACCCGGGACAAAAAATATGCCAAAAAATACCTTTATTCACTGAACAAATATTCAGTAGACTGTATTTAAATTCATAATTCCGATTTTTCTTTCGACAATAGCAGTCGCTGAGGAGGCAATCGGTAAATTTAGCGAACGAAAATATCGGAAAATCTTTGAATAAGACTAATTGTAGGAATGCGGTTATATCTACGGAATTAGATTATTTCAGTGAATGATTACGCATCCATGGAATTGAGACAATCGTCTTTGACAATTATCTGCTAAATGTTGTCAATGTGAATTGTCTGCTCGTTTTTTTTCTCCCTACTGATTGCGGTCTCCCTTACGATTACTGAGAGAGGGAAAAAAGTGACAGTTTCGACCGCATTTTGCATTCCAAACAGATTTTTTCCAAAGTAGAAAAATTGAAATGTAATGATAATCCATTTGGAAATGATGAATTATCTAGGCGTTTTTTGGTGCGTCTGCCAAAAAATCGAAATCATTCGCAAACAATTGATATGGAAATAACGATTCGATTTGAAAGTCGATTGAAATTAGAGCACTTGTTGGCAACGCAATGATGTACGTTTTTCAAAACGCGCACTCATCTCTTATCGATATTACTGAACACGACTCACAAAACGTATTACGTTACATTGATTATGATCATTAAATAAATTTTATTGATCGTGCATGTGTTTGCATTTAAATACAAACTTAATAGACGTCTTATTCGGTTTCTTCCTTTGTTCGGCATTATGTGACTGGGAAATGAGAGTGAAAGAAAAGGTCACAGAAAACCAATATGTTGTCAGTCCAGTTGTACCTGCATTTAGATTAACGATAGGCGGTTCTTGCTTGTTGTTTAATGTTCCCAAACAAAGCCATTTATTTTTGTCTCCTAATCTTTCCTCAAACATTATCTACTGTTTCAGTATCTTCTATTTAGTTTTACTTATCATGTTTGTTTCCGTTGTTTTCAATTTGACTGTGTAGTATAGTTTAATGTGTACGTGTTTTTTTTACGGGCATTGACTCAATCTCGGACAAGGCATGCAGTGACTCACCTTGAGCAAAACACTTTTTTCTACATCACATTCACTAGTTGTTACATAAATGTGAATACCAAAAGCATGAACGATGGCATTTTTTGAACATCTCAGAAATACCACCATAGGTGATTTTCTCTTCCTTTTTGGTACGAAAAAAAGAAAACATTGGAGAGTTTCTGCCCTTAGCTATATTACCATCTGTTTCTTTTCTAGCTCTTTTGTTTTTTCCTCTTCTCTATTTCAACAAAATATGTACAGCGATTCAGCGTATTTACACAACGCCTACATTTCAGTAATGTTACTCGGTCGACTTTTTATCAGTTTTGCTTTTGAGACTTCTTCTATTCTCTTTGTGTTGCTTACTCAAAGTTAAACGTTAGTTTATAAAACCGAAAAGAAAACAAAAGAAGTATCTTCTTCTATACACATAGTTTCTTTCTCTTTCTCGCTCGTTTTTCCTCTCTTTCCCACTTGATGTACACAATTTCGGCATTTATTTCCAAATTATCGGCTCCTTGCTTATATGGTATTCACGTGTTCTTTATGCACCGAATAACGTATAAATAAAATAGGACCAAATCAATCGTTTGGTAGTTTCAATTTGTTCGTTGACAACAGTTGATCGTGCATCTCAAGAAGAAGAAAAAAAAAACACCAAAATGTCGAAAGTTTTGTTCACAGTTCTCGTTGTTTGCTTCGCACAGGTACTAGATCCGTTCGATTTACTTGTTTGAAAATTTTCGAAAATTTAAGTGCGCAATTGAAAATTAAAGTGAAAAATAATTTTGAAAACTTTTGAAAGAAATAGAAAATAATTGTGAATTTTTTTCCCATTTAAATTTGTAGCTCGCTTACGGCCGCGTTGCACGTGAATCAGTAACAACATCCACAGCCAGCCCATTAGTTGGACTGATCGAACAGAGTTTTGAGGGAGTCAAAGTACTTTTTGATGGAGTTCACAATGCCACCCTCAATTTGGCCGGAGTTAAAAGTGACGATGAATTCTGGGGCAAAGGCAAAGAATTATTCACCACATACCAAAAGACATTGGAATCAAGTTTGGCTGATCTTGATGCAAATGTAAGTTTGAATCGAAAGTGTTTAATTTTCATCAATCGAGTGCTCAGTTGGAAATGATTGAGTGCATTGAATGATTAAAATAATTTCGAATGATTTTTTTTTATTCACAATTAGACCAAAGACATTCAAGGTAAAGCTAAAGACTTGTACACAGCCTTCACCGCCAAAATAGCTACAGTCCTCAACGATTTGAAAGCCAAAAACCCAGAACTATTCAGCGGAGATGTTCAGAAGTTGCAAGTATGAAATTTCTACTTCATTTTTCTTTCGTTTTGGCCTACATTTAGTTTCAAATTCATTGGAAAATAATATAAACAAATGAACGAAAAAAAAAAGTGTTTACATGCGATATTAATCCGTTTCGATTGTCTCTTCCGTCAAAAGGGTATTGCCGATAAAACTTTGCGCACCGTTGTTCAAGAAGGCCAAAAACTGAAGACCCGTTTGGAAGCTGAAGGAGAACGGATCAAACCACAAGTTGAAGCCACACTCAAGCAAATTACCGAAGCCGCCACAAAGACAGCCACTGAATTCAAAACCAATGCTGAAGCTGCCATCAAATCAATCGTCAAAAACTAAACATTCAATTATATAACCGCACTCGTTTTTCATTCGATGTGTGCATTATTTTCCGTACTGCGATAAAAGCCTATATAAACAATGTTATTATATTTGACAATATTTGACTCGATGTCAATGACGATGTGGCAGCGCCACCTATAGATATTCCTTATTAAAATAAGTGGAACTATTGAGTGCGTGCACCATATCGTACGTAAATTTTCAATATGGCAGCGCCCATAGAATTGAAAAGTTAACCGATTTCGTAGTCACAAATTATCGCTGTACGTCATTTTCATGTCAAATAATTTATGGACGAATAAATTCGAAAATATTTTTTTTTACACTCAATGCTGCTTGTGTTATAATTTTTTTAGTTTGTGTCGATTTGTTGGCAGAAAATATAATCAAAAGTTGTTTACGAGGCAACAGACAATGTGACGATCGACTAGTGTATGCTGATAAGAGTGCAAAGATTGAAGCATCGCTATTTTTTTCTCTTCTCATTCGTTTTCTCTCTCTTTCTGACATGATTTACACAAGCTCGGCATTTATTTCAAAATTATCAGCTTGTTGCTCGTGTTCTTTATGCACCGAAAATGGTATAAATGAAATAGAACGAAGTCAATCGTATGTTAGTTTCAATTTGTTCGTTGACAACAGTTGATCGTGCATCTCAAGAAAGAAAAAAAAACATCAAAATGTCGAAAGTTTTGTTCACAGTTCTCGTTGTTTGCTTCGCACAGGTACTAGATCCGTTCGATTTACTTGTTTTAAAATTTTCGAAAAATTCAAGTGCGCAATTGAAAATTAAAGTGAAAAATAATTTGAAAAAAAAAAAACAAATAACTGTGAATTTCTTTTTCCATTAAAATTGGTAGCTCGCTTACGGTCGCGTTGCACGTCAATCTGTAACAACAACCGAAACGAGCGTAATTGATGAGCTGTTTCAAGGAGCCAAATCACTTTTTGATGAAGTTCACAATGCCACCCTCAATTTGGCCGGAGTTAAAAGTGACGATGAATTCTGGGGCAAAGGCAAAGAATTATTCACCAAATACCAAAAGTCATTGGAATCAAGTGTGGCCGATCTTGATGCAAATGTAAGTTTGAATTGAAAGTGTTTAATTTTCATCAATCGAGTGCTCAGTTGGAAATGATTGAGTGCATTGAATGATTATCAGAATAATTCCAAATCATTTTTTCTATTCACAATTAGACCAAAGATCTTCAAGGTGAAGCTAAAGACTTGGTCACAGCCTTCAACACTAAAGTAACTGCCATCGCCAACGATTTGAAAGCTAAAAACCCGGAATTATTCAGCGGAGATGTTCAAAAATTGCAAGTGAGTGTGAAATTTCTACTTCATTTTTCTTTCGTTTTGGCCTACATTTAGTTCCAAATTCATTGGATAAAAATATAAACATTTTGAAAAAGACAGTTTTTGCACAAGATATTAATCCGTTTTGATTGTTTTTTTTTGTTCTTCAAAAGGATATTGCCGATAAAACTTTGCGCACCGTTGTTCAAGAAGGCCAAAAATTGAAGACCCGCTTGGAAGCTGAAGGAGAACGGATCAAACCACAAGTTGAAGCCACACTCAAGCAAATTACCGAAGCCGCCACAAAAACAGCCACTGAATTCAAAGCCAATGCCGAAACTGCCATCAACTCAATCAGCAAGAAAAACTAAACATTAAATTATATAACTGAACGTTTGGTTTTCATTCCATTCAAACGTGTGTATTACATTCATGTCAAATAGCTGATGATATGGAAAAATAAAATTGCAAAAATTTTTTTACACTCAATGCCGCTTGTTTTATAATGTTTTTTTTTCGTTGGTTTTTGTGGATTCGTAGGCAGAATAAATAATTAAAAATTGTTTGTCAGCCCCTCATTCGTGCTCTTTACACACCAGAAAGCATTTAAGTCAAATAATATGAGGTCATTCGTCTGTTTGTTTCAGTTTGTTTGAAGCCAAAATTGATTGCACTTGAAAGCTGTAGGTTAACGGATCACACCACGAATTGAAACCACACTCAATCAAATCACTAAAGCCACCGCAAACACAGCCTCTGAATCCAAACCCAATGCCGAAGAAGAACAAGATATTCAATTATATACCTGGGCGTTTGGTTTTGATTCAATTCAAACATGTGTATATGAATAAATCTCATGTCATATATATACATTTGACTCATGTCTATAATATGGAAACATCAATTCGAAGAAAAAAAATCACGCTCTATACTGCTCGTGTTATAATTTTTTTTTCTGTTGGTCGATCAATCAATGTTCGCTGATAAGAGTACAAAGATTGAAGCATCACCGTTTTATTCTCATTTCTTTTTCGAAATTAATATTGAACTCGTTTCGATGTTCAAAAAGTCAATAGACTGTAATCATTGCAATGATACTTTTACGCTGAACTTGCAGGCATGCAGGAAGCTTTGATTACTCACTGCTCTAAAAATTTGTTATCAGTTTGTGTTATGCGGTTTTTTTTCTTTCCTTGAGATTAATGACTGTTTACGATTTGTTGCGATTCGAACCTTGATTCCGTCCATAATGAGGGGATATAATATAGTGCGACCATTTTTTTTTTATTAATCAGTACAAATTCCACGAGTGCTCTCAGCGCAAAACAAACATATTGCGTGAGATTTAATCAAACACATAACAATATGATTTGTTTGTTCAATCGAAATTCCAAGGTTTCAGTATTTTTCTGCTCTCATTTTGTTTTTCACTCCCTAGCTCCGAAACTACCGACTATATATGTTCGATAAAGGCAGTTACAATAGAATGACGAACAAAAAAATGGATCGCTTGTAATTGGTTGGTATACTATTGTGAGGAAGATTAATTTGGTTTCCATTCGAACGCATAGCAGATAACAAAAATAGGGAAGTGAAAGTGTATGCTCCAAAGACCTTTAACATTGCCGTTGAAGATATGGGCTTGTTTAAAAATGGAAAATATCAAATGACGAATTAAAAAATATTGTTGCAATCTCCGGAATCAGTACTCAGTAACTTGCTCAAAAATTCTGAGGAAAAAATCTGGTAAACCGCTTCTAATATGTACGTATTTAGAGTCAAGGTCAAGAATCGTCTCTAATTGATGACAATCTCGGTGGAAACAAAAATTGGCAACGAAACGATAAATATGATGTCATGAGAAATGTACGCTGATTACTTTCCCTCTCATAATCGGCTTATGTATGATTCCATTCGTCTTCAGTTCATGATACTTTCTAAAATTAACAATGTAATACGATCCGGCATTTCTCGAATCGAGTAATTAAAGGAGCAAAAAAGAGCCAACGACTGATGAATTAGATGCTGGCCAACATAATTAACTCTCCGTGGTAACGTTGAATAAAGAATAGCCACTGCATTTTCGTACTTCGGAGAAGAAAAAGTCATCAGCAGTCAATTTAATGAACGCTAAGAGATAAAAAGGGGAAAAAATCCTCTTTCGAAAAAAAAACCACATATTTTCAAACGAAATGTAGACTTTTCCACACCGCATTCTTTGGACGGTGGACTTGATTATTCTTGTTTTGACCAAAAGAACAACGGCTTAAACTGGAATCACTCGATCTTTGTTTACCTGAAAATTAATAATTATCCGACAGTTGCGTTGCGTTGCGGTTGAACAGTTTATTTTTCTCGTTTTGTTTATCAAGCAAACAAGATCGGGTGAACCTTTTTCACGGTTGTGCCCATACATTTATCTCCCGTTCGTTGGCCATTCATTTTAAACGAGCCGACATTCTATGCATAAGTTATCGCATCCGTGCTGAGCGCATTTGTAATTCTCATGTATTTTTCAAGCGAATGCCGAATACCAAATGCTCACTTAACACGAGCAACAAACCCGAGTAAGCCGCGCGCGGAGTGTGAAGGTGAAATGCTCAAAACAAAGCGCAAAAGGGGTTCGTGATTTTTTGTTTTTGCGGTTTCTTTCAAATAAATCCAATGGACGCATACATTCTTTTTTCACCGTCGATTTTGTCGGGTATGTATATGTCGTGTAGCTGCATACAAAATGAAGCTATTTGCAACGTAGAAAAACAAAGTTTTTTTTCGTCTTCACTCTAAAAATATGTGACTATGTTCACAATGAAGGGTGGTTCGCCGACCACAAAAACCGTGTGCGGTCATGATAAAGTACGAATGTGTCGTTTTACTGAGGACTTCCACCAAAAACTTTTACCACCTGCCATAAAAAAAAGAGTCAACAAATCAAAGCATCGACAGAGAAATTCCTTTATTTTCGAATTTCGGTTTGTCATTGTTTGGCTATGCGTCGCACAACATTGGTCGCATTTTCTCTCGGCTTCGTTCACTTTTTCTTTGCAAAAGCCGAAATCATCCATTGTAAATGCACAACACATGACATTTTACATGTTTGCATGCGCGATCGAGTAAAACATTTATCTTTTTTTTGGGTTCTTTATCGAGTTAAATTGGAAAAAATCCAACCAAAATTGTGGCAACAGAAAATGTTCAAGGCACATTTTTTTTCAACACTTTTAACAATTACCGAATAAATGCAACGTTTTTTACTGGAACATTCCAACGAGTTTATGTGCACGATGTGGTTTACGCAAGTGGATTAACAATAACTTGTTAACTATTCACTCACCAAGAAAAACAAACCTGGTTCAACCGAAGAAAAAGCGAAATTTTTCGCCTGCACACATTGCATGTCAATCGGCACAACTTTACAGCACTTGTGTGCTCGTGTGTGGGTGATGTGCCTCAGAAATAAATTCGTGTTCTTCAATTCACCCGAAAATCTCAAACAACAACAACTTTTGCATGTGTGTGATTCACACATCGTGAAAACTTTTCACACAACTTTTCCCCAGCAAAACTATTTTCTCTTCGACTTCTTAGTTGCAAAGCTAGTGCACAGGGCACACAAAAAACGAAACACTATCCTCAATTTTATATCCAGCACGACAATTTTTTTTGTCTACCAATAGTTGCCACATTTTTCGGTGGAACACGGCATTCTTGTGCCAAGGACAAAGTATACGACAGTCACAATGTAATACAATAGCGCAAGAAGAGTGAGAAAAAAAATTACTCGTGTGATGGCACGGAATGTGGTGTAAGGGGATAGAACCGGGATTTTCTCTACTTGACATTGTTTCAAACATACCAAAGAAACATCCAATAATAAAAAGAAGAAGAAGAAGAAGAAGACAACACTGGCTTAGAAATTGAGATAACAAAGATGATAGACTGGAGAATGGAGGCATTGTATACCCACTGCCCATGTATCAATTCCTTTCTTAAGCATTTTGTGTATATGATTTCCCGTAGTTCGTTCGCAGCACGGTCAATGCATGCTGATTCGGTTTAAATGCCATGTCGAAATTGAAATAAAAGTCTCGGTTTCAGGACTTCGTCAGAAAAAAAATATAACAAAAAAATGACTTCAACAGTGAATTGTTGTTGTATGCGAGTGAACGAATGAAAAAAAAGGGGACGAGACATCGAAAGTAAAATGACACCATAAATAGTATCGCTCAAGTTTTTAAATGTGATAGCCAAGGCGACGAAATGGCCTATAAGAAATGTACGTATCCGTGGGTCTCTTATTCTCTCACTCTTTCAGCTGATAGGCATCGACCCGAATGCGTCTCGGAATTGAAAATTGTTTCGTATATATGACGAACCGTCCAGAAAGGGCATCAAAACAAAAACAGAAAAAATATCAATTTAAGTCGATCGAATGAAATACGAAACTGGTTTTGATACCATGAATTCGTCGGTCAATAAATATGAGAGGACAAAACACACGCACAAATACACAAACACTCCGAAAATGCCCGTTGGAATTTGCATAAAATAAAAGGCAGCTCGGATTATTTTGATGACAAACGTGTCTGAGTGTGGAATCAATAATACCATGTAGATTTTCGTATTAAAAGATTGAAAAATTTGGAAACGGTGACAGTTTTGAGTGCGAACAAGGGAAAAATGGAATTTTCCCATTTGAAATGTTCGGTGTTTGTCAGCATAAAAATCCTTTCCCTTTCAAATTCTAATCAAAAATTTTAATGAAAGAAGAAAAAACAAATC